GAAATATCTACAGGTAAGGGTATAAGTCTTATTTTCTTTGCAACAAATGTTTCGAAATAATGAAACAAAATACATTTCACTTTATATTAAGAAAACCCGATGTTGCAATTGAATTTTACTTAAGTTACCACAATAAAAGGAAAAAAAACTCTGTGGAAATTTTTATAAAAAGCTGGAAGCAATATAAATTGAAGATTGTATTTTCCAAGAGAACAGATACTTCCTTGTGTATATTGAGGAGTAAAGGTATGTCGAATTTGCAGTTATATCAATAAATATTTAGATATAATGAATCGTTTTAACTTTATGGGTATTTCTATTCCACAGTATACCCTTGCATTTTGTTTTTATAATGCTTTCGTACTGATTAGCGTATAACGCTTGGGAAAAAATTATCTTTTTACAGAGCCAAAAAAAAATTTTTTTTTTAATGCATTTTTGTGTATAGTCACGATTTGAAATATAAAAGGAGAAATATGGATCCTAATTCAACCTGTTTAAAGGATGATATTTGAACTATATTTCTATTTATAAATGGAACATAAACATAAGGATGCTAGTCTTCTTTAAATTTTTCTTGAAATCAGTTCGACCTTTAAGTTTGATGTCAATAAATTCCAGGAAGAAATTATCTTTTATTCATATTTTGTAAGGAAATCAAGAGGTACATTGTATTTCTCTGATTGAAAATTGATGAATGTTGATCTTTTATTAATCGAAATCTTGATAAGCACTTCAAGATTCTTATATATTCACAGAGTCTTTCAATAGATTAATTTTTTAATACGAAATGTTTATGGGGAACATCACAATACACAGAAAAGAATGTTTTTTTTTCTAAGAAATCTTTCTATTAATTTCAGAATATACCTAAAAATGGATCACATCCCTCGGCTATCGGAGGCTGTGTATTCGGGACTGAGTAAAAAAATAGGGGGTCCTACAGAAGTGAGGATGAGGAGAGAAGTAGAGGACACTGTGGAGGCAGTTAGTAATCCTGTGTACATCATGAAGGGATTTGACAGAATGGAATGTGGTAGTAGGCGTGAGGGATACAGACTGAAAAATTCCGATACGGATTGTATGATTTGGCCTCCAGACCACTACGTAATCTGTGATCTCTCTCAAGTCAGTCTTTACTGTTTTTATCAATACACAGTGATTCTGATGGAGTGTGATGATTTACCTCCAGGTTTTACAAAGTTGAATCTGATGAATCAATCAAAAGATTTGAAAGTCAGTGCATCTTGTGTAGAAATCAATGACAGCTTGTATATATCCAGTATATTATTTCGTGATAACCACTTACTGTTCATACGAACATTTAATTTACCTTCATTTCCTAAGCCTCATGGACCTTGCTCTACATGGACCATTCGCGATAGGTTAGAAGTAGATTGGGCGTTTTGTTTCCGATCCCATCACTGGCCGATACTAGCTTTACCATGGATACAAAGATGTCGACAACAAGGTTGGCCATCTGAGGATGTTATATCAGATATACTTAGCGCAGGATTTCATGTTGTTCCTATTGGCAGTACACCTGAAAATGAACTAGAATGGAGAACCTCTTTCTCTCAAGCAGAGCAAAAAATTATTTATTCAATGAATCACTGTCAGTTTTTGTGTTATGGTCTCTTTAAAATATATCTAAAGGAAGTTATTAATTTCCAAGATGATTTGCCCATTCTATGTTCGTACTTCATAAAAACTGCTGTATTTTGGGTAATTCAGAATAATAAGTACTTGCATTGGACACCTGAAAACTTACTTCCTTGTTTTTGGGAATGCTTTAAATTATTGATATACTGGGTATTTATAGGAGAATGTCCAAACTTTTTTATACCGCAAAACAATATGTTCCGATTTAAAATGACTGGGTCTATACAAACAAGATTATTCGATAAGTTGTATGCATTGTAAAACAAGGGAATATCAAGTCTACTACTTAGTGAAACTTTAAGAGTTTCCCTTAGGGAAGTTATTCTTAATAGGGCATTGAAAATCTGCACTAACGAGAGGAGTATCATAACTAACACAGAACTTGAAAATAGTTCATTCTTTGAAATCACTAAAATTCAATTACCAATTCTTCGTGTCGAACAGTTTGTGGCTTTTATGAGGAAAATTGAGCTAGAGATTAGTGGAAGGTTAACGCCTTTCCAAAAAGCAACAATACAATACATCACGTCAGAGATATTACGAAACACTGCCATGTTGATACAGCATGGTATCTATCAAAATAAAAATTGCAATAAGCTTTATTACAGAACCAATAAAGTATCCTCGTGGCTAAAACTGTCATGTACATTTGGTTGCGTGTCACAGATTCTCTATCTTGCAATGCATTTTTACAGAACACGAAGATATGAGCATTCACTCAGTTGTTTACAAAAAGTACAGGACAAAATGACGCTACCATACATAATGTATTGTGATCATGTAAATGTAGATATGTATAGACTTTGCACAGAAGGGATGTCTCTTAGTCATAAAATCAGGATTGTTTTAGTGATTGATATTCAGTTAATCAGTCTTTACACATACATTGATGAACTAATCATAGAACAGAGGATTGGTTACGAGAATGGAGTGCAAGTTTTGTACATCCCACCTCTCGTGATATTACACATGTTGTTTATTCTGAGTTACCACAAACTTGGCGACACAGTGAGGTCACAACAATCTATACGTGATCTACAGACCCTGCTCTTCTCAGATGATGGGATTCATGTGTCTCTTGAATTCAGAGAAATTTCTTGGCAAATACTGGGGATTTGTCAAGAAATATGCGGCGACTGCTTAGGAGCCCAAGTATCCTACCGACATTCGCTAAAACAGCCACCTTATCAGAAGATTCAAGAAGCGACGCTATTAAGAATGACTAAAATTTCCCAATGAACACTGTAAAATGCTTTTATTTTTTATGTTAATCTATACATGTACGTATATCAGTGTATTGTTTACAACTGGTTTTAAGTTAAAAGGATGGAATTGGTGTGAGTTTCCATTAAATACTCTTCATTACATCAAGGTTTAACTATAATTGAACTGATAATATTTAAATTATTATCTGATTTATGTCCATGTCTTCTTATCAGGTTTCGTGTTTAATGTGAAAGTAGATGTCATATATATATATATATATATATATATATATATATATATATATATATATATATATATATATATATATATATATATATATATATATATATATATATATACTGTATCTCACTTCCATTCTCAATGACCGTGTAGTGTAGGACAGCGTTGTGAGAATTCCATCGGCATCGAAAGCAAGTTTTTTAACTTGCCTAGATAGCCGAGCGGTCTAACTCGCTGTTCCTGTACTGCTAGGAGACAGATTCCGTAGGTCGAGAGTTTAATCCCAGGCTGGGGCGGAAGTGAGCATCCTTGTAAAAGTGAATTTCTCTGTGCTTTCTATATTAATATTCCTTCACTTAGGGCAGTTATATTAATTTAAGAGTTGTTGTAATTTGTGCTTTATATATATATATATATATATATATATATATATATATATATATATATATATATATATATATATATATATATATATATATATATATATATATATATATATATATATATATATATATATATATTATTTTTTTTTTTTTTTGGGGGGGGGGGGGTATTTTCCAGATTGAGATATGCCGTTTTTACTTTTATGAAAAATAGAAAGGGGGGGGGGGTAAAATGATTTAATCAATATTACTATTGTGGACATTTTTTGTGAACAGGTTCGTTATACTTTTAAAAGTACTATTTTACAGTTGCAATTATGTTTATATCACACAACATAAAACATGGGTAATAGTTATCTAATTTTATTTATAATGAAAGTGTAGAATAAAAACCTTTTTTGAATTGTTACCAAATTGTTTTATTGATAAAACAATTTATTTTATTTGAGAAACACTAAAAAAATGCAAATGGATGCAGAAATGAAATATTTGTCTCTCCGTTGATCTAAAGGGAAATAGAGTATAAAACAAAGTCTTAAATTGTTTTGAATATAAATAGAAACTTAACATAGAAAAAAGCCCACAATGTCGATTTTACATTGGACAACATATTTTGTATTTTTTAGCAACTCTCAATAGGAAATAATAATCTCTTAATATTTTTTCTTTACAAAGAATTAACTTTAAGGCTTCTATGTTAAATTTGTAATTTTAATTTTTTTCATAAAATCTTCTAAAAACTGATGGTAGAAGGCATTTTATATATATATATATATCGGCAGAGATCTTTAAAACAAGCTGGCATTATTTGTTTTCCCTATTCATGTACGTCTATTTTGCTATCACCTACGAGGGCTGTTCAATAAATAATTTCCTCAGTGCTCTTAAAAAAACAAAACACGATTTTCAATAATTTAGTCTTTATGATTTCACTTAAATATTCTCTTTGAAGGACAAACACCACCAAATGTTTTCCCATAGACTTCCATACAAACTTTAGCCCCTCTCACTGATACATGTATTGAATTTCGGGCAAATGACCTTTTTGTCGTGAAAGTTCGAGATATTGGAAAACAAAAAATGCCAGAAAAAATATACCGTGCCGTTGCACTTTTACTTTCAATTTCCATTTGTTTACAACTAGGTGTGTTTGACACCAAATGAAAATCTCTAACCAAAGTGCATCCCTCCCTTCAAATTTTTACCTGTAACTCCTATTTACCTCAAAGAAACCCAAGTCTTGATATGAGATTTTTATCAACTTTATTTCACTTGTCAAATACATAACAAGTCTTTTCTCTTATTGACCAATCACGCGCCAGATAGCATTTTCTCCTCCGCACAACTTTGGGTGTCCAAAATGTCTGCGCCCATGTATTTGTTTATGTAGGGGTTTTTCCTATAGAGTAAAAGAAACATTTATAAAAAGTGGTCAATTTAGTAAATTTAGAACACATATCCATTGCTCATCTCAACTCTTGAATATTGGGACTGACAGTCTTAGCTTAGGTACACCATTGGCTGTTACATTTCACACCCCAGTCAATCAGACCAACATCTGTGAAACAGAAAAGGTGTCTCTAAATTGAAGCATTTTTCTATTTTTCTTTCAAACTTTTAAAATAAAATGATTAATCTAGCATATGTTTTGCTTGTTTTTCTTATTATCTCTAATAATTTCTCAAGGTAGATTATGTTAATCATTCAGGGTAGCAGGTACCCGTTATTAATGAAAAATGAAGAAAATCAGCAGGTTTTTGTAAGAAAAAGCTGGGTTATGGAAAGAGTGAAAACTAATGTAGATGAAATAATCAATGGAAAGAAAGAGAATTATATCTAGTTCAAATGTACATAAGATTAAAACAAATTCTATCAGCAGTGGGTTGCTGGCATCAGAGAATCAAATACATCCCCACTGAAAATTTTGTAATTTTGAAGGGGGGTGACCTACTTTTTAGCCAATTTTCATGAACAATTCATGTAATTGATGTTAAATATGTATATTCTCATAAAAGGCAAATATATTTATTTGCATATCATTTCTTATTATTGACATAATTAATAAATTGATTGAATGCCAAGGGCATATAAATCATATTGTCTGACTGAATACAGTGCTCAATTGTACGCAAAGTGTTTAAATAACTGCAGTTCTGAGGAAATTTACTTTCTGATAATCTATAAAAAGTTTTAAATAACTTAAATATTAAGAGATTAACTAGATTTTCTGAGAAAACCATACCTTGGAACTCTTAATGAAAGCAAAGGGATCATCCCGAGAGTGTCCATGTGTTGTTCATTGTAAGAGGGTAGGGTTCATTAATCTCTTCCTTCTTGATAATGCATTGCTGAAATACATTTTATTTTATTAAAACATACTGATAAATGCATCTAGTAGCTTATATAATAATTTCTTTTATTATTTACACAATCTTTTGAATTTTTTTAAGCATTTGTGATGTAATACCTTTAAAATAATCATGTTGAAATAGAATTTACTCAGATAATTATTTTAAAAAATATCAAAGAAATTGAAAAAAAATAACTGCAGATAAACATGACTCTTGTTATTCAAATAAACCAAATTTAAACAAAATTCCTTCATTTTTCAGCATGAATAGAGCACAAAATTACCCCCCCCCCCCCTTTTCAGCAGAATATCAAGATTGGATATAGCAAGGAGGAGGGATATTCAGACACCTTTTTCATAATTTTTTCAGTTATAATTTTGAATATTTATTGCATTTTCAATGTATTTTCTGCAAAAATATATTGTACTGTAATTTCAATTAAATTTCCTACAAGTAATCTCTAAGTTTCACAAAAGTATAACTTTTAATTCAAGCCAGCCCTGATTACATGACTGAAACTGGCTTTTCTGATGGATTATGCCCCTTATGTAAAAACAAAGTAACCTAATTAGTTAACAGCAGTCAAATTTTGTTATAAATTATTTAATCAACTCTGATTAACACAAATTTGAAAGAGGATTACTCAATCTGTTCCAATGTCTACACTCATAAAATACATAGATTTAAATGAATTTCTCAAACTGCGAGGGGGATATTCATATGTTTTGTGTATTGATGATGCCCATAAATATTGATATTGTATTATTTACAATATTCACAGTAAATTTCGGTATAAATATTTATTTAAAATTATTTACATGAATTTTTATTGAAAATATGAGAGCTAGGGCAAAAATTTTGGCATTTTTTCACTATGTGCAGTCCCCATTGTGAGCCTCAATTTACCCAAACCCTCTAATTTTTAAACAAATAGTCAAAACTAATTAAAATATAATCCCAATGCCAAAAAAATAGGAACCGGTTGTTTTTTTGGCTATAATCAATTTTTATCCACGAAATCATACCTTTTCTATAGGACAAACACCACCAAATGTTTTCCCATAGACTTCCATACAAACTTTAGCCCCTCTCACTGATACATGTATTGAATTTCGGGCAAATGACCTTTTTGTCGTGAAAGTTCGAGATATTGGAAAACAAAAAATGCCAGAAAAAATATACCGTGCCGTTGCACTTTTACTTTCAATTTCCATTTGTTTACAACTAGGTGTGTTTGACACCAAATGAAAATCTCTAACCAAAGTGCATCCCTCCCTTCAAATTTTTACCTGTAACTCCTATTTACCTCAAAGAAACCCAAGTCTTGATATGAGATTTTTATCAACTTTATTTCACTTGTCAAATACATAACAAGTCTTTTCTCTTATTGACCAATCACGCGCCAGCTAGCATTTTCTCCTCCGCACAACTTTGGGTGTCCAAAATGTCTGCGCCCATGTATTTGTTTATGTAGGGGTTTTTCCTGAATTAAAACACATGTCCGTAACATTTTTATCTAATTTTTGGTTGTTCTTAGAACACATTTGAGTTTTGCCCTTCGTATACTGATATATGGCAGATCCTATGATTTCCTGGACTAGTTTCTACTTTCTGAAAGGTGTTTTTTCAAGTTTGAAAAATGAAACAAAGTCAAAAGGTGAAAGATCTGGCGAATATTGTTAATGTGACAAAACATTGACGTTTTGTTTATCCCACAAACTTTTCTTAAGTCGTCAGGGCCTGTGGGTTTGGAGGCTGTTATGAAGAATTTAAATGTAGTGGATTCCCGATTTTTGTTCCTCCAGAAATTGAACTATCGCCCCAAATAAAATTTTGAACTACAAGAGCACTAATGGTTAAGAAAATGGCATATAAAACTGCCTTTGTGCTCCCGCAATTCTTTGATCCTCTTAGACCTTTGCTGATTTTATTGTTAATTTATTTTGAGGGTTTAAAGCAATGGATTCACGTTTCATTATCTGTTTGAATTTCAGACAAAGGTTAAAAACTACAATTACTGATTTTTAAAAATAATTATTTAGATATTCTTACACGCTGTCGTTTTCGCTCATTTTTCAAATCATAGGGTGATAATTAAGTACCAAGCATTTTTACCGTTAAATGTTTCTTTAAAACAATGTGAACTACCGCAAAATGATGCCTATCAGATTTGCTATGTTTTTTATAGTCAATGAAACATAATCAGTGATAATTTGTTGAATTTTGGCAAACAGTATATTGGTTGTTGTCCTTGTCGCGGTACCCATTTTTGATGCCCATTGCATCATTTTTGTTCATTGAAATCCACCTGCTTATGTGTCTATAAAACAGAACTGGTTACTGTAAATTTGACATATTTCAGTGAATATTTCGGTTTTTTTTATTTTTCACAAGCTTTACACAGCTGTGATGAAGCGTTTAACTTCACTCTTCTTTACTGTTTTTTTTTCATTCATTTTTGATGCAGTGTCTCGAATAGCCCTTGTTTTCCAGCTTCTCACAATGAAACTATTTGATAAAGAGTGGTCACATTAACTGTTATCATTTTATTAAAGATTCAATCATGAGAGAATGTCAAGTTTAATGTAATATTTCTATATTGTATGTCATAGAGTTCAGGACATTATCTAATGAACAGCCTTCGTATATACCCAACATTTAGATTGTTTTTAAAATATGAGTTTTAATTGATCAAAATGTTATCAAACTAACTGAATTACTTTCATAAAAGAAATAAAATTAGGTTTTTAGTATTAATTTTTTTTAACAGTTGTCCTGTGTAAGTTTAATGCATTTGGCAGAATGCAACCTTCTGTCCAAGCGCGGATTACGTGATCCAAGTGCTCACGTGACATTCTCCACAGCGCTCTGTTTACAAAGGAAAAATAATTTTCTGAGTCTTATATTTCTTACCATGCAGGTTATTTTTATAATGAGAACAGTGTTTTCGTCACAAATGGTCAAAACACTCAAATAGGATGAGTGGATAAGGACATCTTTTCCCAAAATGAGTATGGTGACCATCATAACCCAACTCCTCTGTATTCTAAGCGTCGATTTTCCAATGTGGATAAAGTATGGACGCCTTGCTTTTGTCTAACTGATAAGTTTTAAGTCTAAAGGAAAGATTTTTAGGGATTTGTAAATTATGATTATTATTATTAAACTATTTTACATTTTTCTCTAAATGTAACTTGGCCATCTTTTATGACGAAGGATTAGGTTCATTTGTCGCCAAATTCGGCCCCGTGTCAAATTAAAATAATATTCCTCTAAGGTCTTTCAGAGAGTGTATATTTTCATGAAATCATCAATGTATTTTAGTACCAATGTTTATTTTTAATTTATGAAATTGTAAAGGTAGCATATTTTATTATTATGATAATTTGACGTTGGTTATGCGACGTCTTGAAGAGGAATGGGAAGTGATTTTTTTAAGAATTAAATCTAGCTTACATGTATATTTCATTATTTACGTTTATTAAATCTCATTTTCATAAAAACACATTACAATACATAGTTGTACATGTGAAAGCATATTATACTTAATTACAAATTTAAATTAAATATATAGAGACAACGAATAGTATTTGAGCTCCAAAGTCTAACAAAACAAATAGGAAGCAAGGAATACGGACCTTTAAAACATCAGAGGTGGGATAAGGTGCCATGGAGAAGTGAACATTCCCTGTCCACCTCTCATAACACCAATGTTCTTTGTCTTTGTAAGAAAAAAACAGGGGTAATCCCTATTTTTACATCAACAGGAAAAAAATTAAATTATCAAATAAGAAGAATAAGTTACTGTTTGATTTGTAAGAAGATTTGTAAGTGGAGTTTGATGATGATTTTTAAGTTTTTTTTATTCTCAATTTGTCCAGATGTAGAAAATGAAAAAAAAAATTACAAACGTTTTTGCACAACTACAGGACGCATTCAGTTATATATCAGTAGATCATTTATCTATCAATCAAAAATTTGGATCACCTACCAAAGAGCAATTGGCAATATGATTTGTAATTTGATCGAAATAGGAAAACGAAAATTTGTTCAGTGTTTCCCGAATAATTGTTTCTTTAGTACAAATCCTAAGACACATGTAACATTCTTTTTATGTTTAATGCTTATAAAATCCATTAGGCATAATGAATATAAAATACGATGATTGTCTCAAAAAGCCGAAGGCAATATTTATAACTTATTTAATAGGCAACCAATACTAACCAAATTTTGCATAGACATACTATAATCAATGTTCTTTAAAATTTTAAATTCTTAAATATATATCTTTCATATTGATAATATCTGGATGATTGATATGAAGGCCTATATGGTGTGTCGGCGCAAGAACAAAATTCGAAATAATTTTCGCATATAACAATTACATTTGATTGCACTCAAATTTAAATCAGTGAAACATTTGTCAAGAGTAAAGTGGTTTTTCACTTTAAAAAAATTATGGGGATGTTAACATAAGCATGTGTAGCATAAATAGAGATCATGATGTTTTAATTAAGAGAGGTAAATTACGCTTGCTTTTATGCGCTGAAGTACGCTTATATGCTTTTTTTCATTAAATGTTATCACGAAACTTGAAATGCATGATCATAAAATATTAGCATTTACTATCATAAGAAAATTAAATTGATTTAACAAAGAGAATCTTACTTTTTTCCTAGTCTACGACTATTTGGGACAGACCTCTTAAATGAATTAATGAAGGATATCTATTCGATGTACCTGAGGGCAAAGAGGGAAATACTCCAGAACATCACAATGAATATTGCTTGAATGAGTTATCTTTCTTTCCCCATTGTTCGTCTTAGTGTCAAATGCATTTTGTAATGGTATACACTTTTTGAAATTCTTCAATTTAATCGTATCTTAGTACTCAAATTATTTACTTTCTAATTGATATGTTCCTACCCTTTATTGCATCTATCTTGTACCGTTTCCCAAATACTGTTTGACATAATTTTGTGAGCACCATATCCAATCATTCTTAATATTTTTCTTTTAATTCGAAAACAATGACATTTTTATTCTGACGATAAGAGTCCGATTTCACTGAGAAAAAAAACATCAGATTTATTATAGAAGGTGAAAAAAAAAAATTGTGATTCTTTCTGTGTAATTTTACAAAGATAAAACAGCTATTAAGAGAGGTATTTACAGTCCGTTGATTAATTAAAGACCTTGGCATGTAGTCTGAACATGACTTTGTATAAACAATAACGCTAAATAGATTTAAAAATGTACTTTAATAACACATATGACTCTGCAAAAACAATGATCTTTAAGAGACTAGGAAAAACACTCTGTTTATAAATTGCATTAGCCCAACTAAAGTACAATATTTATAATCAAAAATAAATATATAATAAAAAAAATTCGTAATTATTAAGTGAACACAGTCTTGAAGGCAATTGATAAAGCTGATGGAGTAAAACTAGTCACAAAACAGTAAAGTAAATCCATTTAAGTGAAAACTGTATTGACTACGATTAAGATAATGGCCGTAAACTGCAATAAATTCCATCTGTAATATTTATTATGTATTCCTTCTTCTTGCTTCAAATATAAATTAAAAGTTATTTCTCTTCCATTCAATCAATATTCTATATAGCAGAAACTACAACCAACATATTACTATTGTAATAGAAATGTTGATGCAAAAAATTAAATGATAAAAACAAACAAAATAAAACCTTTTTGGTGTTATGAAAGACTATAGAAAACGGTTTACATAGGAATATCTGTTTGGTAGTAAATAGTAAGCTTCGATTAAAAGATATAGTAATATTCTAAGGCTTTTTTCGTAAAGTTTAGCAACCTAAATGAAGGATATGGAGATAACGAACAGTATTCAATATCAAAGTCCATAAAACAATACAAAATAGGAGCAGAGCAAACACGGACCTCCGATACATCAGAGGTGGGATCAGATGCCATGGAGGAGTAAGCATGGATATGGATATAACGAACAGTATTTAACATCAAAGTCCATAAAACAATACAAAATAGATTAGAGCCAACCCTGACCTCCATAATATCAGAGGTGGGGTCATTAATTTCATTAATTGCAAGAAAAACATTGTGAATGAAAGTAAAACCCACATACAAATTTTTTTTGGGCATAAATGTGTCTGTAAATCACAACGATCTTGTTTCAACATAACATACTACTTGTAACATTAATGTTATTCTCTTTTTTTCGGAAAAAAAAGTTACATCTTACTTCTGAGTTAAAATTGCTTGCATTTTGATAATCAGACAGAAAATAAACATATCTTAATTTTGGAATTCTTAAATATTAAACACAAAATATAACCAAAAAAAAATATAAACAAGGAAAAGAAACAAAAAAATACAGAAACAAAGAAGCCAACTTCGAGTATATTCAATGACTAATGGTTTTATACTAAGACTAGGATAAATTAACATTATTTTTAATGAAAAACAATGTAAAAAAAAGAAACCATTTT